ATGAAGAAAAAAGTAATCTCAGTCATTTACAATACACTTTTAACTTGGCTAACGGAATGTGAGCAGGTTAAACCATGTATGATAAAATGGGCAGAGAATATAAGAAGACCTATTCAATTTAGAGAGTGGGAGCAGATGTGGAACAAAAAGTTAAAATACGTTTACGCGACAGATTTAAAGGAAAATGGATAAAAATGTTCCACAGATGGTATACCACTCCTAAGAAATTGGCCTTTATAAATAAAAACTCTTCTGATAAATGTTGGAAAGGTTGTCATCCGACAGGTACCTTTTATCATATGTGGTGGACATGTAAAGAAATAGTGAAATATTGGTCGATGATACATGAAGTAACACAAAAAATCCTGAAGAGAGTATTCAAGAAGAAACCAGATTATCTATTAGGTTTTACAGATTTGGAATTACAACTAGATGAAAACGAAGACAAACTATTTACCTACCTGATGACGACGGCAAGAATATATTTGGCAAAACTTTGGAAACAGGACAGTATCCCTACCATAGAAGAATGGTTAAGAAAAATTAGAGAAATAAGAGAGATGGACTAACTTTTTTTTTGAAAAAAAATACCGGGAATCCGATCAAGAGGACAGATTGGACCCTCTATGATAATTACGAGAAAGAAAGAAGTAAGTAACATTTTATTGTGGAAGCGCCAGAAACATTTTTTTAATTTTTTGGAGACACAACACCTGATGAGGAGATGGAAGTCAACCCTTTTAAAAAAATTATTTTCTATTTTTTTATTTCTTTTTTTACTGTTTTTGTGGGGGGGGGGTGGTTTTTTATTTTTGATTTTGTATTTTCAACTTTTTTCTTTTCTTTTTTTTTTTGAATCTCGGGGGGGTGGTGTTTTCTATTTTTTCCTACTGTTCTATCTTCTTTTAAATATTCACCCTCTTTCGCTGTAATTTTTAAATATTTCAATAAAAAACTACTAAAAAAGAGTTGTTTATAACTGAGCCATCTTTCCCTGGGTAATTCTCTCCTATGAAATGCCTCCGTTGGTGATGTCCACCTAGGTGTTCTGGTATAGATGTAGCCCTTGTATTTGTTCCAAACTTTTAGTAAGGAAGATCTAATATAATGATTGTTAAAAAAAAATCTATCTTAGCCTTTCCATACCATAAGTAGGCATGCCATCCTCTTCTGATGTCATATCCTTCAAGAGTCATAATTCTTTTTCGCTCGAGGATAGCCCACGCTTTGGTCCAAGACAGAGCACACGCTTCAAAATACAATTGTAGGTCAGGCATTGCCAGACCTCCCCTGTTTCTTGTATCTGTTAGGGTTTTGAATTTAATCCTTGGTTTTTTACCGTTCCAGATGAAGTTTAAAATATCTTTATTCCATTTTTTGAAGCACACACTTGTTTTGATAACAGGGATTGTTTGAAACAGAAAAATCCGTTTGGGCAATACATTCATTTTGATAACAGAGATTCTCCCCAGTAAAGATAAATTAAGGTATTTCCAGTTTTTAAATTTCTTTTGGATGTTTCCCCATGCCTTTTCGAAGTTGTCTTTGAATAGGCTTGCATTGGATGCAGAAATTGTTATTCCTAAGTATTTAATTTTTTTTACTATTTCCATTCCAGTTTCTTTAGTGATCTTATCTTTTCTATCTGCCTTGACATTTTTAGTTAGTATTTTGGTTTTACTTCTGTTTATCTTAAAGCCCGCAAGCTTCCCAAATTTCTCAATTTTTGTTAACCATTTCTGAGCAAGTTCTGTCGGATTCTCCATAATGCATACTATATCATCCGCAAATGCCAAAACTTTATATTCCTCGGATCTAATCTTTGTGCCCTTTAGGTCTTTATCTGTTCTTAAGTCCTCTAGAAGAATTTCTAATACCAGTATAGACAGTAGCAAGGATAGGGGGCATCCCTGTTGCAAAGGGCTGCTTGCCCCAATTCAAAGAAAAGGGGTTTCAGGAGAGAGAAGTTACGATTTATTATTTATTATCCTTAATGGTGCCCCCAATTTGTGATGTGAGGTAATTTTGGGAGATTGGGCACACTGAACGCAAAATTAATGGAGGTGAGGCAGTCTTAAAATCAAAGAGAACAAGTTTATTTTGAAACAAAGCGTATGGTTGCAGTTTGGTGATAAACTTGGAAAATGCTTGGAGAACGTTACATATAACTTGGTTGCGATACAGTACAGACTTCTGATGTTACACTTTATAATAACTTTTGCTGTGGTGAAGCACTTTATTAGACAATGGTTCCTGAGGTGAATAGTCTTCCTGTTTGATCCTTCCGTGATCAAACCTCAGATCTCTAGTTCACTTTTAACTAGTGATCTAAACAAGCTTCTATTAGTCTTCTCTAACTAATGAAACTAATAAGGTTTCCCCTTCAGCCTTCCTAAACTGAAGAACCCTCTGACTATTCACAAACACTGCTTCTCTACTTTCCCACTCTCTCTCTCAACACTTCATGACTGTGCACTCCTCTGAGCCTAAACCCCCAACTGACTTTAACTGTCGCTTTTCAAAACTCTCCTCTCTAAGCTCCTCCCACTTCTCTACAGCATCGTTTCCATGGTAACACTCCTCACAGCTAGGCCGCTCCAGCATTAGGGCAACCAATGCAAACACAAATGCAGTTATAATCATATCATTTACAATCAATACAGTTATAATCATATCATTTACAATTAACTTCTGTACACCTGTCTTACTCCCTTTTGTATTTTAATTTTCTTGGTGCTTTGTCCATTCACTATGATTTTTGCCGATTGTTTGGCGTATATGGATTTGATGACATTTAGTATCTGGTGGCCGGCGTCCATTTCTTTTAATGTGAATGTTAAGAAATCCCAGTTTATGTTGTCGAACGCCTTCTCGGCATCGAGGAAGAGAAGGCCTACTTCTTTTTGTCTGTTCTTCTCGTAATACTCCACTATATTCAAGATTGATCTTATGTTATCCCTCATCTGTCTGTTCGGGAGGAATCCTCTCTGATCTTCCTTAACTCTTTTTTTAAGTAGTCCTTTGAATCTTGCAGCAACTATGCTTGCAAAATTCTTGTGGTCACAGTTTAAGAGGGAGATTGGACGATAATTTTTAACATTTGTGGGATCTGTATTCTCCTTGTGAATTAATGTTATATATGCTTCCTGCCAAGTTTCCGGCATCTCTTTTTCTTCCATTATATTGTTCATAATTTCTTTTAAATGTATACTTATAGTATTCTCTGATTACCTAACAGTCACTATCAAAGTAACAGTTACTGTTAACATTAAAGCCAAAAATGTCCACAGCTTTCCTAGCAGCACTACTGGAGTGTTTGTAGTCCCCAGAAGCATGCCAAATCCCTGTTGGAACAACATTTTCAGTTATTTGTATTCAAAGGATTTCAACTTGAAAAAATACTCAGGCTAATGTTATGTGTCTTTTGTTATAAACTGGGGAAAACATTTGTTCAAACATCTAGACATCATAAATTCAGGATTTATGTTTCACGGAAGGGTGTTCCAAGATTGGTGAGCTAACCTCCAGAATATCCTGAGGAAAACCAGATGGTTGCTATTGCAGGTCTTGGACACGCTTGTCTTTTACCAAGACCTAGTGCACTGTGGATCGATCACACATGCAGTGTTTGTAGCAGTTACAATTTCCTTAGCAGGATCAAGAGTTTTAGAGAAATACCTTATGATCGTGTTTCCAGAATGACACAGTAGGGATCTCAGTTGGTAGCTGGCACCATTGTAACTAAAGGAGTTCCCCTTTCAACACCCATCAGGAAAATCATGAATATCAGTGAGAGTCCATTCAAATTGTGAGCTTAGACCGATCACAAACTTATCCATGGAACTCCAACTTAGAGATGAGGGTAATTTCTAGTCTTGTATGAGTTTAAATGGAAGATAGTGATATATTTATTAGGATGGAAAGCATACAAAAGCTTGCATTTTTAATAAGGAGGAGAGCACATGGTCTGCAAAATAGTGGCAGAGTGGTGTCTTTAGCACATTGGATTTTTTCAGCACCTCAACCAAAGTTCTTCACAAAGATAATTTGTCCAGGGGACACCTGCATTCCTGTCACATCTTAGGTTAGTAGCAGGTTACATGGCTTTGTTTTTCCTCTCAAATTTGTATTCGTTTCACATGCATGTTTTCCTCAATGTCCCCATTTGTTTATGCATTTCTCTGAATGCACACACATTTGTATATATAGTTTATTGACTAAAGCAAAGTTCTGCGTATTTTTAAACTGTATATATTTTATCTGTTTGCAATTTTAAAACATCAACATGGTTTTATGCATATTTTATGCATCACAAGTTTTGCAAATGTGTTGATTTTTCAATGCGAGATTATGATTTATTTCTTAACACATCTTGGACATTGTGAAATTAATTAGTATGGAATCAGTGTCTTCCTTGAGTGTTTTGATTTCAGGTAGATTCTTTTCCATCCTATATCTAAGTTGAGGTTTGAGTATCAGTACCATTAACTGGCAAGCCATCTGCACTGGGCAGTATCCTAAGATCCAAACAAATAAAAGCATTTCTCTTATCCTGACTCAAGAGGCTCCTAAAAGCCTCAGTATCAGTTATATACCAATTCCCTACTTGAAGTTCATAAAGTTTTCACCCAAAAAAGGAGTTCTAACAAAAAAATCTTCCCATCTTAAAGCTTCAATATAAATATTCCACAGGAAAGTTTACTCTTAAAAGGACCTTTCTGGTGGCCATCAATTATGTCTATTAGGTTTTTCTCATCTGAGAAAGAATCCTTATTGATGAAGGTTCTGTTTGAGCTGCTGCTGATGTTTTGGCTAAAATAACTTCGGCGGAAGTACGTTTTTTTTAAACTTATTTGAGTGCTTTTTATTTGATTTGCTTAACAGAAGTGCTAAACATTGTTTAAAGTAAAAAATCAATCTGAAATTAATTCAAAAGAAAATGATAGAAGCCTTTTTGTTAACTGAACTATTTATCAAAGCCAAACTTTATTATCTTCCAGCAACTTTACAGAAAAAAACCAGGTTTAGCTATTACCTGTGCAAAGCTACCTCAGAATATGGATAAAAATCGGTACAAAGATGTTCTACCTTGTAAGTATTCTACAGTATTTATCTAGATGCTCATTCCCTTTAATATAAATATAGGTCATATCTGTCATTTTGGGAGCAAAATAGTACATCCTCTCCCTCCCAAATAAATTTGAATAATTGCTAAAGGTCTATAGAATATGAGGGAGCTTAAGCCTAAAGCATCGTGTCAGTGAAGTGAGGAATGGGACATTGAAGCATGTGAGAAGATAGTCATACTTGTATTAGGAATGGGAAAGGTGTGCCCCATTGAGTTATTAAAACATAACAAGAAAAGGGAGAATATTAGCATTCTTAGCAATCTCAGAAGTAATTAAAGAGTCAGTCTTTGTGCCCATCTGTCGTGAATACTTTTTGAACCTTAAAAATGTTCTTTAATCCATTTCAGTGGGTCAGATTGCATCAGGCATTTGCAGAGAAAGAAGTAGACGTACCGTATGGTTTTATAGTAACTATATTGATTACACAGACAAAAGGAGGAACATATACTCAGCATTTACCCCATATACATTCAGTCATCCATACTTACTGTCCTTCATTCAGTCCATCTTAGAAGGAGGCAGGTGGACAAGCTGCATTCCTCACAAATCTGCCACATGTTTTGAAGAGAAAAATGTCTCTTTATGTAGCAACTTCTTGCTGTTGTTGTTTTGGATTGTTTTCCACCTGTCATTCAGCTAAGACTGAATTCCGGACAGATGTTGTTTTTCTTCCTTATAACCATTGTTTCTGACTTCCTTGACTTAAAGAGTAATTGTCTCTGACCATGTAAACATGTGTTGTTTACACCAAAAGGTCTCAGGTCAGTTATGTCAGTTTAGCAGTTTTTTTTCATCAGTACTTTTCATACCACAATGAATTCTTTACCTCCTTTGTTTCTCCATAATACAGTTTTTCAGGTTCCAATTTTCCTTCAGCTTTGGCAAGCCTTAATAAACCCTTAGCCAGACACCAATCACAATGTCATTCAATCAACTCATGACACTTCCTCAGTTTTTCATGGCATTACCTTTTACAAGGGCAGGGACTGCTAGCTCCATCCAACTCTGGGATTTAGCCAAGGTGTTGGTTTAGTGCCAGATGACTAGGCAGAAGTAAGCATCTCATTGTATTTCTCACCCAGCTCCCATCTCATCCCTGGAGAGCCAATAATTGTATTTAAAAACTTCTGTTCCATGATGTTTATAGCCTTGAACAGGAGTTTTGGTTGCATGTTTCTTCCTTCTCTTACATTTATTATTTATGCAGTGTTTTTATAAAAATGACTTTATTCATGCACTGCAGTCTTGTTTAGCTTGCCTAGCCAACAAATTGTTCGTTTGCTCATTTTTGTGCAGTTAATAGACCCTTCCTTCTTCCTTCAATTTGATTTAAAGATCTGTACTACATTTATTCATTTAGCATAATTAGTATTCATTACTTACTTTTCTTCCAACAGATGATATTACGCGAGTGGTATTACAAGGAGAGGAAAATTATATAAATGCAAATTATGTGAATGTAAGTAATACCAATTACTTCTGAACAAAAAAAAAGGATTTTGTGCTTAAAACAGATGACCTTTTACAAAGTTTGGTAGTAACAAAATTACTCAGATACCTTTGTGTACTCAAATCTTGCTAACAAATAGGAAGACAAAAGCCAAGGATTATCTTTACTTCTGATAGGTATAAAATGTATCTGCTAAAAAGATTAGGAAGTTGTACATTGAATATTAATATATTCTCATTCGCATACTCACACAAACCTTTTGGTAAGTAACATCTGTAGAAACTACAGATGGGAGGAGGGTTTGTGTGTCCTTCCCTCCCCCTCTTTCCTCACTTTCTTATCTCTTTTCCCACTTTCCTATCATAAACCAATTATTCCCCCACTTTTTATGTAAGTATATACCCACAATAAAAAAATTATGGAAAAAATATAGGAAACACAAGATTTAAAGACCTAACATTTCTGGGTTTACTATTAGAATATTTTAAAAATATGCTTGATACCAATATATGGTTTACTTCCTTCTTTTCTAACATATTTTATTAAGCATTAAAGTGTTAATAGTAGAACTAGAAAATTCTTTAAATAATTAGTGAAAGGATTCTCAAATATTACCCTGCTTGTTAGTATAGTTTCTTTTTCATAATTAAACAATGGCCAAATTTCACACTTTAGAAAATAAATATTTGATAGGATTATTAATTTATTTCTTCAGTTCATAGATAACTTAATACAATTATAAGCAAACATGTGTATAGCACAGATATAGTAAAAGCAAGCTTAAAATAATGTGCAGTGGTATATAAATTGACTAAATGAAATAATTCATCTCACCTGCTTGCCTTTAGATAAACCTTAATTTTGGCTTACTTTATTTTGAAAAAAGGATGGAAAAGTTTGTTTTCAATAATTAGGAAATAATTTTTCATCAGAGCCAAGCAGAGGAATAAGGTGAAATTCTGTTCTTAGGTTTGCTCTGTTGCTCCCATATCTTAACATGTTTATATTAAATGTAAGGAGCCACATTTAATGACACATCTCCTTTGGCCTTTAGGTTGATAGAAAACAAAGACAGAGCAAAAAGATCAAGTGTAGTAAGAATTATGGTTCCAGTCCTATTTGTGTGTGTGTGTATCAGGAGCAACTTGAGAAACTGCAAGTCGCTTCTGGTGTGAGAGAATTGGCAGTCTGCAAGGACATTGCTGAGGGGATGCCCAGATGTTTTGATGTTTTACCATTCCTGTGGGAGGCTTCTCCCATGTCCCCGCATGAGGAGCCAGAGCTGACAGATTCGAACCTCCGACCTGTTGGTCTTCAGTCCTGCCGGCACAAGGGTTTAACTCATTGCACCACCGGGGGCTCCTCCAGTCCTATTAAATAAATAAAATAATGAGCAAATTCAGATGAAAGGATCGGGTTTTAGTTAGCTCTGTTATTCTGGAGAATACTGCAGTCTGTATCTCTCTAAAGTGATAAAGCTAAGCCATATTTCAGTTCAGTCAGCAAGTACTGATACATACTACATTCAGCTAAAAAGGTAGACAGTGGGGAGAAATACTTCTTCAGGATGGTTGTGGGCTACAGTCTAAATTCTGTCAAGATTTATGGGACTAACCAGTGATTGTGATGCAAGAGTAAGTCATAATCAAGCCACAAGTCAGAACAAAAAAACAAGAATCACGGGGGACCAGAGAGTGAGGTTAAAGAGATATTTGGGGCTAAAGAACAAACCTGGACAAAGGAGCAAATCAAGACTCAAGGGGAACCAAAACCTATGGGGACACAACCAAAACTGCAAGAAGATCTGGTTGTCTACGCATAATTTAACTTTTGGAAATAGTAAACTTTCCTCAGTGCCTGGGATAGTACCCTAAGAATTTGGATAGGTGCCTGCAATGAATTCACCACCCCTGTGACACCTCAGAATGAGCAGGGCTATTCTGAGTGGGTATAGTCGGTACAGACCTGAGGATACTAACCTGTGAGGAGGCTGAAAACAATGACTTATCAGATGGGACAAACACAGACAAAGCCAACATTTCCTAAGCCCCAGCAGCTCCCTGACATATAATTTCCAATAATGCGAGGCTGTAGATGTCAGCTTATCAAGTTATAAGTTTATCTGGAATGACATCTAAAATTCATCCAGATGTGTGATTTGGAAAATATGTCTTAATATCTGAATTTACTTCCATATCTCATTTGGTGTTTCCCTCCTATGAATCTAGAAGTTTTGTAGAAGGCCTATGGTGATAAAACAACCTTATCTCCATAATAAGTCACGGGACTAATATCTTTCCTCTACTCAGCAGGCTCTTGAAGATTAAATGGTGGCACTCTTGGCAAAAGTGAATCACAGAAAACATTTCTTGCTCAAATTTCTTCCTTGTTATAGTAAAGAGTGATAAATTATTCAGGCTGCAATAACTGGGTGAAAATTGAGAAGAAACCTGACTGCTTTTGTAACCAAACAAGAATTGGCATTTGTTCACTTGACAATGCCGTGCTTTAAAAATAAGTGATTGCTGGATCTCACTGTGTTGACCCATGAAAACAGGCTGTTCACATCAGTATTTTCACTGTGGTTGAAAAGAAATTAGTGTTATTAAATAAATGATTTTTTTAAAAGAGGCTAATTTTTATAAACATTCATAAAATATTGCTGTGGAAAATTATTCATCCAACTTCACATAGTAGTATATTCCACTCTTTAATTTTTATATATATATATATATATATATATATATATATATATATATATATATATATATATATAATTAAGTCTCAATGTAATTTGAGTAATGTTGTATGGACATGTAAAAATAGCTTAGACTTAGAGCAGTGGAATTACTGGAATTTTGCCAGTCATGTAGAACTAATTGCGTAGTTCTTTAGTATTTGACGTTTGATTTGTCATAATATTTTCTTATAATTTATGAATTCATTTAGTGTGGAGAAAGAAAAAACATTGAAAAAATGTTTAAATTGGGAGAGCTTCAAATGCAACTACATTTAAAACTTCATATATGTCACAACCAACATAAGTTATATGTATAAGCTGTACAGATAATTAAATACCATACTTTTGTTCATATATTATTTCCGACTTTGCTTCTGTGAACTTGAGCTTTAAAGGAAAATAATTATGATGCTCTGATCAAAATAAAAAGACTCCAGAAGACACCTCTTTCTTCACCCTGAACTTTATTATGATTCTTGGCTAACTATCTTTTTTGGGTCTTTGATATATTGCAAGTGGTAAAAATATTTTTTTTAAAAAAAAATCTGTGAACTAAATTGATGTGTGATTGTAGGAAATACGTCTTTTACTTATAAGTTGGAGCCCCCGGTGGCGCAGTGGGTTAAACCCTTGTGTCGGCAGGACTGAAGACCGACAGGTCACAGGTTCGAATCCGGGGAGAGCATGTATGAGCTCCCTCTATCAGCTCCAGTTCCCCATGCAGGGACATGAGAGAAGCCTCCCACAAGGATGTTAAAAACATCAAAACATCCGGGCACCAGACTGCCAATTCTCTCACACCAGAAGCGACTTGGAGTTTCTCAAGTCGCTCCTGACACGACCAAAAAAAAAAAACCCAAACAAAAAAAACCTTATAAGTCTATGACCAACATATCCTTATCTAAATAGATTGTTAACTTCACATTCTGAGGCACTAAATGACCATATTTACTCAAATCTAATGCTCACCATTTTTGGCTAAATTACCTAGCCAAAAGGTATACATTTGATTTGATGGCATGTTAGAATTGTGCACATAAATCCGCCCATGCCCCTCAGTTAGGCCAACGCTGGCAAACCTTACACTCATCAGGCTGAGGCTGGCAAACTCCCCAGTTTCAGCCTGATGGAGGGGCATGGCTTCCCAACTGGCCTCATTCACAAGGTCTTGAAAACCTCCCCCTTGTTTTTGAAGGTTTTGTGGATGAGGTCTTAGTTGGGAAGCCACTGCCAGTCTGTCAAGTTGAGGTTGGTGAGTTTGCCAGCCATGGCCTGATTGAGGGGCACAGCTTCCTCTTGCCTGTTGGCTGTTCTGGGGCAGGTAACAGAATGGGCGACAGGCAAGGGGAAGCTACACATTACATTTGACAACAAATCTTCTTTTTTGCATCACACACCTTCAAAATTGAGGTGTGCATTACAACTGTTGGTGCATTATACTTGAGTGAATACAAGTAAATTAGACCTGTGGCTTAATAAATCCATGGATGTATGACGTCTTGTGTCCTAGCCTCAGGGGAAGATGTGCTGGTTCAACCATGACTGCTCACTATTTAGTGGCTGCGAACCATTTCTATAGAAACTGATTAAATCAACTTTACACTTAAAATGAAAGCATATTTTGGAATATAGGTCGATGCAAGTTGAGTCTGTCCTGCTTCATAACAAGAACACTCCGTGGAGAATGTAAAATTTGGTCATGCCTTCATGTGGTATTCCATTCACATGTGTGGATTGGCCTTTAAGACATACTGATTCTTTTCAAGGTATTGTCTAATGTAGCATTTCTTATACTTTGAACTTCCAGGTGTTTTGGCTGTGGTGTCTAGGAGCTGAAGTCCAAAACAGCATATCTTAAACTGCCAATTTCATCTATTCAAAATTTCAGTTAATATTTGAGTACTACTTCAAATTCTTCTGTGTATATGTATTTTTGGGTGGGTAGTGTATGTATACATGGATATTTCATCACTGCCATTGTTAATCACAATTTTTCCAAATAATTTTCTATTGACATTTATGTACAGTTGTGTTTTCCCTTATAGATGGAGATATATTCCACTGGCATTGTAAACAAATATATTGCCACTCAAGGCCCTCTTCCACATACCTGTGTGCATTTCTGGCAAGCAGTTTGGGATCACAAATTGTCACTAATTATCATGTTGACAACCCTCACAGAACGAGGGCGGGTAGGTAGAATTGCTGTTCAATACATTCTACGCACGTGGAAGTTTATGTAGAAAGACTTTCATGTACATTGAAATGTGTTTATGAAATTGGTTTCTTCAATGTTCAATATTCTATTTTTTTAAAGTAATAAACTGCACCTTGTGAATATCAGAGACTTTATACTGGCAGTCACAACCATAAAGCCATTGTTTTGCTTTGTTAACCATTTACATCAAGCTTTTTCGCACAAAATACAAGGTAGCTAATAGTATTTTTAGGATTAGTAGAATGATATTTTGGCATTTGCACTCCACTACATACAGATAGACCATCTGTAACTTTTATCCTCTCCCATATCATTTTTAGATCACTAGTTTTTTATGTCAAACTTATGGAAAAATTCAAATATTAGAAAGTTAGAAAATAAATCAAATGAAATCTCTTAATTATTTGCAGTGACCAAAATTAAATTGTTTCTCGTATGGAGAAGGTCATGCTTTGTCAGACCTTCTCCATTTAAAGTGTTATGCCTAGAGATAACGTTTTAAATCAAATCTGAGAGTAATAAACACCACAAGTAAACATAAATACTGACTGTAATGTATGGTATGTGGGCTGCCATGAGTTTTATTTCTGACAGTTTGGAAATCAAAGTCAAACTGTTACTGACTGTGAGTCTACTTTCAAGATTCAGAATTAGATTGTTTCATGATACAAGGCAGGAGACAATCTAACTCTGAATCTTGAAAGTAGGCTCACAAAGGTCAGTAACTGTTTGATTTTGATTTCTAAACTGTGCCAACAAAGAGAAAAAATAGGACAAGTGCAAAGAAGCCAGAATGGATGTCCAAAGAACTTCTAACTGTGCTAAGACACAAAAGAGACATACACAAGAAGTGGAAAAAGGGAGAAATCACCAAAGAAGAATTCAAACAAATAGCCAACACCTGTAAGGAAAAGGTCCGCAAGGCTAAAGCACAAAATGAGCTCAAGCTTGCCAGGGACATTAAAAATAATAAAAAGGGCTTGTTTTCTTATGTCAGTAGAAAAAAGGAAAACAAGGAGGCGATGGGGCCTCTTCGAGGAGAAGATGGGGCAATGCTGACAGGGGATAGGGAAAAGGCAGAACTACTTAATACCTTCTTTGCCTCGGTCTTCTCACAAATAGAAAGTCATCTTCAACCTCAGCAAGATGGAGTGGATGAGGAATTAGAGGACATCCAACCCCAAATTGGGAAACAAGTTGTCCAGGAATACCTGGCCGCTCTAAATGAGTTCAAGTCCCCAGGGCCAGATCAACTACACCCAAGAGTATTGAAGGAACTAGCGGAAGTAATTTCGGAACCATTGGCAATCATCTTTGAGAGTTCTTGGAGAACGGGAGAAGTTCCAGCAGATTGGAGAAGGGCCAATGTGGTCCCAGTCTTCAAGAAGGGAAAAAAGGATGACCCAAACAACTACCGTCCAGTCAGCCTCACATCGATAACAGGCAAGATTCTGGAAAAGATTATTAAGGAAGTGGTCTGCAAACACTTAGAAAAAAATGCGGTCATCGCTAATAGTCAACATGGATTTATCAAAAACAAGTCATGCCAGACTAATCTGATCTCTTTTTTCAATAGAGTTACAAGCTGGGTAGATGCGGGGAATGCCGTGGATGTAGCGTACCTGGATTTCAGTAAGGCCTTCGACAAGGTCCCCCGCGACCTTCTGGCAAACAAACTAGTCCAATGTGGGCTAGGCAAAACTACGGTGAGGTGGATCTGTAATTGGTTAAATGGACGAACCCAGAGGTGCTCACTAATGCTTCCTCTTCATGTTGGAAAGAAGTGACGAGCAGAGTGCTGCAGGGTTCCGTCCTGGGCCTGGTCCTGTTCAACATCTTTATTAATGACTTAGATGAAGGGTTAGAAGCAGGATCATCAAGTTTGCAGACGACACCAAATTGGGAGGGATAGCCAATACTCCAGAGGACAGGAGCAGGATTCAAAACGATCTTGACAGATTAGAGAGATGGGCCAAAACTAACAAAATGAAGTTCAACAGTGACAAATGCAAGATACTCCACTTAGGCAGAAAAAAACGAAATGCAAAGATACAGAATGGGGGACAATGCCTGGCTCGAGAGCAGTACGTGTGAAAAAGATCTTGGAGTCCTCGTGGACAAGTTAAACATGAGCCAACAATGTGATGTGGTGGCAAAAAAAGCCAATGGGATTTTGGCCTGCATCAATAGGAGCATAGTGTCTAGATCTAGGGAAGTCATGCTACCCCTCTATTCTGCTTGGTTAGACCACACCTGGAATATTGTGTCCAATTCTGGGCACCACAATTCAAGAGAGATATGACAAGCTGGAATGTGTTCAGAGGAGGGCGACTAAAATGATCAAGGGTCTGGAGAACAAGCCCTATGAGGAGCGGCTTAAGGAGCTGGGCATGTTTAGCCTGAAGAAGAGAAGGCTGAGAGGAGATATGATAGCCATGTATACATATGTGAGAGGAAGTCACAGGGAGGAGGGAGCAAGCTTGTTTTCTGCTTCCCTGGAGACTAGGACGCGGAACAATGGCTTCAAACTACAAGAGAGGAGATTCCATCTGAACATGAGGAAGAACTTCCTGACTGTGAGAGCGTTCAGCAGTGGAACTCTCTGCCCGAGTGTGGTGGAGGCTCCTTCTTTGGAAGCTTTTAAACAGAGGCTGGATGGCCATCTGTCAGGGGTGATTTGAATGCAATATTCCTGCTTCTTGGCAGGGGGTTGGACTGGATGGCCCATGAGGTCTCTTCCAACTCTTTGATTCTATGATTCTAAACTGTCAGAAATGCAACTCATGGCAGTGTTTATTATTCTCAGATTTGATTTAAAATGTTATCTCTGGGCATCTGTAGATCCTCCAATTTGCATTTTTTCGACTTACACAAGTTTCCTGTGTCCATAACCCCAGCAAATGTGGAGGACTGACTGTATTATAAGCACTGTGATAACAGATACATTGTTACTGCCTTCCTGCTATGTACCTTTATATGGACGATAAAAGCAACAGCTCCCCTGGCAGCCAGAAAAAGTTAAATAGCCTCTGTGTATGTCTGTATATGTTTGTATGTCAAAAATTGGCATTGAATGTTTGCCATATATGTGTACACTGTAATCCTCCCTGAGTCCCCTGCGGGGTGAAAAGGGCGGAATAAAAGCTGTAAATAAATAAATAAATAAAATATGTTGTTAACATTGAATAACAGATGAAATGTAACCTTCTCAGAGATGGTGCAACTTCTGCTAGATAGAAAACCCTAATATAATCCTTACATCAACTTTGGGATTTCCCCCTATCTTAGACCAAATGCCATCCTTATTGGCCAGATCCCCCTGCCATTGTGGAATTCGGCAACTTTCGTATCAAGTGTTGCACTGAAGATTGCACCATTGCTTACGTCTTCAGAGAAATTCTTATTACGAATATTGAAGTAAGTGATTATTCTTATTACTCTTCTGCATCATATCGGGTTACATACCGTAAAAACCGGCATACTAGACGACTTTCTAAACCAAGAAAGTCATCTTAAAAGTGGGGGGGTTGTCTTGTGTGTCGGCTATAAGTTCCACCACTTGAGGATGCTGAGAGCGAGGGACGCGAGCAGCCATCAGAGGCCAAAGGGAGCCTGCTGGTATCGCAGCTCAGCTGGCCAGCACTCCCGGCAGACCTGCCGATCCTCCTCCTCCCCCCTCGCCATCCCCAAGCAGCGCAGCCTGCTGCTCTTGCCCTTGCACAAGCCCAGCTGGCCATCACCCCCGGCAGCACTGCCGCTCCTCCTCCTCCCCGTCCTCCTCCTGAAGGAAAAAGGGGCAGAAGAGGCTGCCCCCAAGCCTCCCATTCCCGGCCAGCTCAGGCCTCTTCCTCCCGTTTTGTTTTGTTTCTGCAGCCAAGAACGAGGCAGCCTTAAAGGGGAAGTCCCAGTGCAAGGGCCATCTATTCTTAAAGGGGAATCCCCCCCCCCCCCAAAAACTGCCACAGATTCAGTGCCATGGAATCACAGGAGTTGTAGTTTTACAAGGTCCTTAGCCTTCCCTGTTTAAGAGAGCCAGTACCATACCAAACTACAAGTCCCAGTTTTCTATCAGATTGTTTTGAATTTCAACTCTCACAATTCCTAACACCAGGCATAGGCAAAGTTTGCCCATGCCTGGTAGAGAAGCATCCTACGTTTCTTCAGGGTACATCAATAGTACTGTAGAAAAACACAAAAGGCTCGGTTCTGTTGAGCACAAACTCCCATCACCAGATATACCTCTGGAAAAATAACAGAAGTATTCTAAGATAGTTTAGCTTTTGAGACATATCCAGAACATGCTTTTTTAATAGCAGGAGAAATTAACCCATTTCCAGCCATGCCAACAATGTGTGTATTAAGTGGGAAAATCATGAACACATTTTCCTTTAATGCTAAAAGTTGCATTTAGATCAGACTTTGACCCTCCAGTTGTTTTGGACTTCAACTCCCACAATTCCTAACAGCTACTGGCTGGGTTGCTGTGAGTTTTCCAGACTGTATAGCCATGTTCCAGAAGTGTCCTCTCCTGATGTTTTGCCCAGATCTATGCCAGGCATCCTTAGAGGTTGTGAGGTCTGTTAGAAACTAGGAAAGTGGGTTTATATATCTGTGGAAAGTCAAGGTGGGAGAAAGAACTCTTGTCTGCTTGAGGCAAGTGGGAATGTTGCCATTGGCTACCTTGATTAGCATTGAATGGCCTTGCAGCTTCAAAGCCTGGCTGCTTCCTGCCTGGGGGAATCCTTTGTTGGGAGGTGTTAGCTGATCCTGACTTTTTATTGTCTGGATTTCCCCTGCTTTTGAGTGTTGTTTTTTATTTACTGTCCTGATTTTAGAGGAGTTTTTTTAAATACTGGTAGCCAGATTTGGTTCATTTTCATGGTTTCCTCCTTTCTGTTGAAATTGTCCACATGCTTCTTGTGGATTGCAGTGGCTTCTCTGTGGAGTCTGACATGGTGGTTGTGAGAGTGGTCCAGCATTTCTGTGTTCTCAAATACTGACTGTTAGGAATTGTAGGAGTTGAAGTCCAAAACACCTGGAGGGCTACAGTTTGCCCATGCCTGATTTAGATCTATCTCAAAAAGGGTATATTCATCAAACCCTTTGGGCATGACCTTGGAAATATCTGGCTGCAGTGCAAAATGTTCTCACGTGTTGGGTTTTGGAAGCTGCACAAGATGGCTTTAAGACAACTTCTGTCCCCTCAGCTTACCACTAGCTGCTGCATTTCCCTCCCCTGGCTTATACTCGAGTCAATAAATTTTCCCAGTTTTTGGTGGTAAAATTAGGTGCCTCAGCTTATATTCGGGTCAGCTTATACTCAAGTATATATGGTAACTAGAACTGGATGGCCACCTGCTGGGGAGGCTTGCATTGTGTCTTTCTGCCTGGCAGGAGTGAGTGGGTTGGAATGGATGGCCATTGGAGTCCCAACTCTAGCGTTCTGTTGTTGTTATTGTTAAGCAGAGTTGTATGGCCACCTGTTAGGAAGGCTTGCATTGTGTCTTCCTGCCTGGCAGGAATGGGGTTGGACTGAATGGTCATTGAGGTCCCTTCCAACACTAGGGTTCTATTATTATTGTTGTTATTGCTATTATTAAGTAGAACAGGATGGCCATCTGTTGGGAGGGCTTGGACGTGTGTTCCTGTCTGGCAGAATTAGGGTTAGACTGGATGGCCATTGGAGTCCCTTCCAATTCTAGGTTTCCATTATTGTTGTTGTTGTTGGGGAAAGGACATTGGACCCGGCCCTGGTCTCACTCTAGGTAAGGTAAGGTAAAAATTTATAGAACTTTATTATGCTCCATGGACCCACAACTGTTAAATAAATAATAAACATACAGGAGTTTACAGGTGAGCTAAAGGTTTTCTCCTGACGTTAAGTCCAGTCGTGTCCGGCTCTGGGGGTTGGCACTCATCTCCATTTCTAAGCCGAAGAGCTGGATACTGCTTTGATAGTCTTGGATTTGAAATCAAATCTGATGTATTTTTTTATTTGGTGTGCGATGGAAGAGGGGTGGTCTTATACGGCGAGTATATACCAAACTCTATATTTTAACTGGAAAAGTTGGGGGTCGTCTTATACGCCCAGTCGTCTTATATGCTGGAATATACGGTACTCTGAGGCAGACTGAGACTGGGTCATCCCAGCAGCTTTCTCAAGATCATAGGTATTACCTCAATGTCAATTGAGCTGGGGGGGGGGGGTGATCTCTGACTAATTTGGGTGCCAACCCTGATAAACTGTAACTAAATAAAATCAAACAACATAATGTTTTTTATGATCACTTACACACATTGCATTGCATTGCATTGAGTCTCAAATTGTTCTTGCCTCTCTACTTCATATACAATCAATTCACAATCTATATTCTGTAAGACAGAAGATGAAATTCTAGTACTTTCATTGTCACTACTGTGTGAATATATACATTCTCTGATGTTGTTGAGAATGGATAGGATTCGTAACCAAAAGGAACCTTTGGTGACTTACAATAAAGTTTGGAAAATTGCTCTTGACAACAGTGAGTTTCCTTCTTCTGTAAAATAATATATGGGGTGAGATGAAGGACTTAGATAACTGTGTTATCAAATGCAACTCACTGGTAACCACTCAGCCTTCTTATGCACATCGTTTCCCAAAGGGACTGGTTCAATAAAAGATGATTGATATGGTATATAAAATCAATTGTAACTCATGTAACATGGCTCATATTTGATGTAGCTATATTCTCTACCAGGACTTCTTAAACATTTTCCATTAGCAACCACTTTCTACCCAATAAATTGTTTCATGACCCCAAGTATATAGGTATATAAAACAGGTATAAAAATCAGACATTAATGATAATAAATCAGCATTTATAAGGCTTTATTATTATTATTATTATTATTATTATTATTATTATTAACTTTATTTGTACCCCGCTAGCATCTCCCGAAGGACTCGATGTGGTTTACAAAGGCCAAGGCCTCAAACACAACATAACAATACAAACCTAGAGCAAATTAAAACAATTAAAGCAATATTAAACAACAAAACAGCAAGCAATAAACAATACACTAAAACACAATAAAACTGGGCCGGGCCAGAGTGAAGGGTACAGAATTAAAAGTGCTGATGTGACAGGTGATATGTAAGGATTATAGGGCAAGTGCAGTGTGCAGTTGCAATCTTAGTTCTAATAAAGTGCTTCTGGGACTTGGTATTGGAGATTTCCTATTCTGGGAAGGCACATCGGAACAGCCAGGTCTTTAAGTTCTTTCTGAAGACTGCCAATGTAGGGGCCTGTCTAAGATCTTTGGGGAGGGTGTTCCAGAGTCGGGGGGCCACCACAGAAAAGGTCCTGTCTCGTGTCCCCACCAAATGCGCTTGCGACGCAGGCGGGATCACGAGCAGGGCCTCTCCAGTGGGAGGGATACGACTGAAGCATTTTCTGCAAAGTGTATTGTAAACACTGCATGCTCTGGCTAACAGATTTGTGTAAATGGGTAGCATTCAGAAACCTTTTACTCTTGGCAGATATTGCATGATCCTAAACATTGAGCTTAAGGGCACCCTATTTGGGGTCGGGACCCATCATTAACAAAAACAGTGTTCTATGTTGGCAGGGGAAAAGTATAGCTCACAGACCACATATTTCTCCAATACCCTTCATAGAATCATAGAACCATAGAGTTGGAAGAGACCTTTTGGGCCATCCAGTCCAACCCCCTGTCAAGAAGCAGCAGAACCTTGTAAAACTACAACTCCCATGATTCCATAGCATTGAGCCAGGGCAGTTAAAAGTGATGTCAAACTATAGTTGCACCCTATGTTTATGGGAATGCATGCAATTCTGTAGGTCTGAAAAATGAGATTCAGTATGGAATCTTTAAAAGATAAAAATCAGCTTTTTCTCTTGTTTTTAATATTATTTTATACCACAAATATAGTGTGTTTCTTGTAACACTAAGCTCTGTAATCTCCAAACTCTAAATTGTGAAACATTTCATACTTGAAAGAAATTGTCTGGTGGTTTTTTTTAATTGAGGCTGTTTTCACAGTAATCCCACAAATAATGTCTAGTGAACATGTTTATTCATTTCAGACAGAAGAAGAACACACTGTTACTCATCTCCAGTATGTGGCATGGCCTGATCATGGTGTCCCCGATGATTCCTCAGCCTTTTTGGAATTTGTGACCTATATGAGACCAAAGAGAATAGAAAATGAGCCAGTTCTGGTTCACTGCAGGTACTATAAATTATTGTGTATAATAGTCTCAAAATTGCTCTGGCAGGATTGCTAAGGGGCTTTCACGTTCATTTGAATTGGTAATGTTTTTTAATGAATTGTGACAAAGGAGAGAAAGCTTGCTTTATGAATTGTTGTACAAGGTGTATGTGAGAAGGACACATAGTTTATGTATAAAATTTGCTGCCAAAAATGGGATGACATAAACTTAGCTAGCTTTAAATTCATGGAGGATCATGCTACTGCTTCCCAGATTTTCTTGAATGTATATAATCATGTCCTGCTGTGGTAGACAGACAGAGAAATTTAGAGGAAGGACATTTCTGCTAGAGAAAGAGCCCTTTCAAGTACACTTGGGCCCTGTGCTACCAATATTGAAGGTTGTAAAATAATTCCCTCAACAATTGGAAACAGAATTTAAAAGAGGGAAAGTGATGGAGATTTCTTTCAGTCATGCCTCTTCCCATAGCTAGAGAACCCATGAGCATTATGTTGATGGTAATGTCTTTCTCCCAGAATTGGGAGAAAGGCATCCCCACCACCAAGATGTCTTACAACTAAACAAAAGCATAACAACTAAACAAAAACATAACAGTTAAACAAAAACATAGCAAAAGCATACAAAAAATTAATATGGGACTAATCAATAGGATTAAACTACATCTGTCAGACTTAAGGCTCGCAGTCCAGATTCTGACCCTCCATGTCATTTTATGTGGCCCTCCAGACTCCTGTCTTCCTCATCATTAGACATCCTGACTACAACTGATTGGAGTTATGATATAGTAACATCTGGAAGGCTGCAGTTTCTTCTGTTTAGTCAGGAGCGTAGGGGGCACATTTAAATAAAAGGCTTGTGGGAATGATGTCTGACTTTAAAATACCCTTTAGTCTTTCCCCTCAGAGCCACAAGTGATGTTGGGTTGCAATTCCCATTATCCCCAGTTCACATGGCGGATAATCAAAAGTGACGGGAATTGTCATTCAATAGCATCTGGGGATCCAAAGTAGGTAAAAACTAAAGAGCACTGACCACTATATTAAAAAATCGTAGTTTGTCCTCTGTGTCAATAGATTTAATGGCTCTTTGAAGGCAACTTTAGGGCTGATGTGGCCCTCAATGAAAATGAGTTTGACACCCCTGGACTTATCTATCAGAATAATTTAAAACTAAACGTAAAAATACAAAATACTATTGAAATGATTAAAATCCTCAGTTTAAACAGATCAGCACAATCAGTTCATTTTTAAAAGGCTTTATATTGCAAGAGCTGGCTAATTTCCCTGGTTAAGCCCTTGGCCTGGTTCTTCACAGTAGTTTATGTTGATAGCAGTGTATTATTCAACCATTTTTGTGGTGGATGTAAGGAATATATTTTGGATTGAGAGATGGCATTCAGTTTGCAGGTGGGATGGTGGTGGTGCTCCTCATCTTTAAAGTGTAGGTAAAAGATATGGCACATTAGATATTTTTTTCCTCGTGTAGTTTGCGAAATGCGCACAGATGGGTTTCCTTTGCGCATGCACAGTATTTTCGGAACGTTCAAGAGTTTATAGATGAAAATTTAGGCGGAGGCGTCACCCACTCTCCCCTTGACACAAAAGACAATGGATTCCCACAATCACAACAAACACAAATCCACTAATAAATCACAAAGGTAAATGTTTTTTTTTCCAGATTATATAATGCAATATTAAATTAATAACAAACTTATATGATGCAGCATTGAGCAAAATACAATGAACAAAAAACTGTTGTTTATACAGTGATTTTACATCTGTAACAAAAGTAGAGTCTTTCTTGCTGTAAAGCAGACTTCTCTTAAGGACATGAGATCCCTTACTTTAGAGAAAGATACTCTTGAGTGAAGTTTCCAGTCCCTTGTAAGAGGATACCCACGTAGAGGATTTCCACAGACCAGTTCCGACTAACGTCTTCCACACTGAGCATGTGCAGATTGTCCCGGAATGGACTGGACATCCGGTTGGCCACCCAAGGCACCAAGGAAAGGTGGTAGGGGGCCACGCAGACCACAAACACCAAGAGCATGCCCAGAACCATGACTTGCGTCTGCCGGCGGTGTTCACCTTGACAAGGGCCAGTGGCAACTGAGAGAGTCCTCATGATGTAGATGTAGGCCCCTAAGACCACCAAAAAGGAGACTGCAAAGAGAAGCACCATGGCATAAGCATAGCTCTTCCGGCCTGTGTGTTGCTCAAAGCATTTTGTATTGAGCAATCCACCCTGGTGGATCTGCTGAGTAGCCAAGGAGGGGACGGCACAAGCTGCACACAGACCCCAGGTCAAGGTATACCCCACCAATGCTCCCCGGAGCTTGTTTAAAGCCAGCTCCGTCTTAGCCACGGTGCAGTAGCAGTCCAAGCTGATGAGGGTCATGAAAGCCATGGCACTGTTAAGTAGCCAAATAATATGTGGCCCCAGCCAAGCAGCAGAAGGCTTCAGGCAGAACCCAGTGGCCCTCTGCCCAGTAGTAAGGGATCCAGAAAGGCAGAGTGAGGTTGAAGAAGATATCCGCCAGGGTAAGGTTAATGAGATAGATACGAATAGCCTTCCGCACTTGTCCGCTCTGCAGGAACACAAGGAGGGCAGTCACATTTCCCGGGAAGCCCACACAGCACCAGGCAGTAGACAGCTGGCACCAGGATGAACTGGACAAGGTCACTGAGATGGCAATGCCCATCCACAAGCCCTGTGCCAGTGAAGTTATTTATCCCAATGCTCATTCCAGGCAATCCAGGACTGTCTTCCCAGCTCTCTAAGCCGTGCCACCAACATGCACCCTTTTCTAAAGCCTGAAGACTTCTCGATAAAGAGGAAGCATCACAGCTGCAAGGAGATGCCTCAGAAAGCTGCCATCCATCTCTGGAGACAAAGAGACTGGCTCCAGGCACAGCTGGAGAGGCTTAGCATTGGTTCAGCCATTGAGGGCCAGAGTGACTCCTTAGCTGCCCACGCCATTCACCTGTTTCAACCCTGTCTCCATGGCAAACCCGACTATCACTACCCATTATATCCCCCCCCCCTCCATTCCCCATGTTTGGACCTTACTACCCTCCATTTGATCAGCAGCAGCGAGAAGCCTCCACTCAGCCTACACCTAAACATGCACAATTGAGCCAACCTCAACCTCCCCGAGCCGCTCCCTCAGCCACTATCTCTCATCCTCCTGCACCACCTCTATCCCCTTCCTCCCCAGTTGATCTTCCTACACCACACCCTCAGCCCACCCCTTCCCAACAGCTGGAGGAGGAATGTGAAACCATAGATCTCCAATCCAATCCAGATAAACCCACCTCATCTGGTCCCCCTACAGGCCCCATCCCTGACCTCCAACAGTCAGAGGACTTCAAAACGTTGCTTCTCTCCTTATCAGGCTCTATAAAGCCCTTAATCTTACTGTCCCCCAGGCCACTGAGGTGGTAGAAGTTTTTCTCCTCTGAACAACAGACTCCTATGTCAACTGCTTTGCCAACCCTACCATACCTACTTCAAGTAATAAAAATGTGTATATCTCCTGCTCTAGTTCCAGCAACCCCTAAACAAGCAGAAAATCTTTACTGCCTTGACCTTTCCTCGGTCACATGGCTTTCCAAACTACCTAAAACCAATTCTGTTGTAACGGACACTCAACCAAAGTCTATTCAAAGGAATCAATCCACTCCCTCTGACAAAGAAGGAAAGAAACTAATATAGTCATGGGGAGAGTGGCCGAGGCCTCCACCTAAATTTTAATCTCTAAGCTCTGGAATGTTCCAAAAATACTGCACATGTACAAAGGAAACACTCGAAGAAATACGGTTACAAGTATATATACTTTCTTTCCCTGTGAAATCTTCTCAAAATAAAAATACGAAGCCAACAGTAAGGGGGGGTCATAACTTTATCCATCTGATTTCCACTTTTCTTCTGACAAATGCATAAAGCACACATTGCTAGCATGATTTTGAGTGCTTCATTGTTTGCAGGAATCTTTGTATTTTTCAAGAGTTTTCTAACATTAAAAAAGTATCAAGGTAATAATTTGATTTCAGGATAAAGCCACTGCTTTGGTTCCTTTATGCAGTGTGGCTTATCTCTTACAGTGCTGGAATAGGCCGGACTGGGGTATTGGTTGCTATGGAAACAGCTATGTGCTTAATTGAAAAAAAACGACCTGTTTATCCACTGGATATTGTACAGAAAATGCGAGACCATCGTCCCATGATGGTGCAAACACCGGTAAGTGAGAAAGATAGAAATCTGTTCTGTGTCTCTGTGATGTATGTCCCAGTTTTAATATAGGCTGCTAGCTATCCATTTTAATTCCAAAATAATATACTTTATTCACACACAAAAAAACCCTGGATTCTTTGCAAGACTGCCTTTTCAGAATTCAAAGTAGAATAGTGAGTTTGCTTTTAAGTCCCTGTGTTTTATTGAACAAGCCACAGAAATGGATGTAGGAGCACTCCCAAATCAGACAAAGTAGAATCAGCTTTGGGGGGGGGGGGTGTCCCACCTTGAAGAAGCAACAAGGCTATCTATCAGACTTGAGACCTCAATACCTATAAGGTCTTCCGAGGATTCAGACTATATGGATTGGCCCTTATCCAGCTCGTTGCCGTTCCAAATACTGTTTAAGGACTTTGCACTGCCTTATCTGATTCAGTTGTGATAAAAATGTAGAGTTTTATGTCCTCAGCACACCGTTGACATTGTAATCTTAAACTCCTAAATATGTCCCCATAGCAGAGCATATTTTAAACTGAACATAGCAGGAAATCTGACAGAAAATTGAGAGTTTGGGTTCATAGAGAATTAACTTGAAAATATTTCTGATTTGCCTAATGGGAATAAACCATTAGCATGTTGTGGCCAACCAAAAAGGTTTCAAAGATGAAGCCAAAATGCATGGGTCAGAATCAGAGGCCCATCCATCTACACTGCCATATAATCCCATTTCTACATTGATTATCTACAGATTATCTACTTTGAATTGGCAGTCTGGAATCAAATACTGGATTATATGGCAGCATAGATCCAGTCACAGTTACATTTAAAGAGGAAAGATCTCTAAAATGATTAAAACTGCTGAAAAAGGAAGGATAACTCAGAAAGGTCCAACCTCTCCAAAATGCTGGGAAGTGACTCAGTATTCCAATCATGGAGATTCATTACAATAACTAAATAGTACAAAGTCCATGAAGTCATCAGTATGGGTAGTTGTCAGCATAAAGAAAGCTTTAGGGAAGAAATAATTCCTTTAAAGACAGGGAGAAGTAAAAGAGCCTACATTTGCACAGAGGAGACAACAGCAGTCATTAATGTTGGGGGAAGGATTTTGAAGAGCCCGTTATTAACAACATCAAGACCAATGGTAGGCAATTCTTTGAATTCATCAAAAACAGCTAGGGAGGTTGTTGGATCATTTGATGAGAATAGGATTAAAAGAGTACACTGCGGTAAAAAAAAGATAAATGCTATTTTAGTCTGCATTAATAGAAGCATAGTATATCAGTACGTGGGTACTTGAGGGCACCAAAAGAAAGAAAATCTCTGAACTAGATGAAAGGGCATTAGACTGGTAAATGATATTTGATGTAAAATAATGCCTCTTATAACCAAACAAAAAGACAAAAACAGTGTCAGTAGATGGGATTTAAATTAGCAGCCATTACAAAAAAAGGGTCTTAGATAGATAGCTTAGAGGCTATCTAACCACACATAAGTAGATAGCTTGATAGAAATGGCACCCCAGTATATGGTTCCAGTTTAAGCAAAAACCAAATTGTCTGCAGGGTGTAATTAGAAAATGAATCAAATGCAAAACTGTATAGCCTGCTGAAAAATAACCATGTTGCCCTTATAATATATATCCATGGGAAAGTGCAGAAAAGGTCAAGAGAGTAGAACAACTCCCATTGATGAAATTTTACTTTGGTTCTTTCATTGAAACCTTAGAAAATCCGCCACTTTCTACAAAGGAGCCCTTGAATCTATGTGCAGCGTCTTCTGTTCTACATGATCAAGTTCTATGTGATCCAAAAAAAAAGAACAAAGAGTTTGGTGACACATGTTTTAGATATTGGTTCGTGTTAGTCTTTAAGATGCTGCTAGACTCAGCTGTTTTACTGTATCAGACTGACACTCTGTCTGAGTGTCTTATGCATGTAATTGTGAGTGAGGCTTCAGGAGATCTTTGTAAGTAATACAAATAGCTATAGCCATATAAGCCTTAAAATTTGACAGTGAAAATTGTAGTTAAATTAGAGCTGAACTTGGCCTACATTTAAACTGGACTGCCCTTTCCTTAAGAATATCTTTACCCTATATTGTTTCTTTGTTTCTCTCTCTCTTTCCCGCTCTCTCTTTCAAGATTGTTGGAAGAGAGCATGAGATGTTGGTTCCACATCAACATCTCACACACATTCTGATGGACGCACACACACATATAAACACTCTATCATTATCTCTCCTTCCTTTTAACATCTATCTCCAGTCTCTCTTCAGTACCCTCCCATTTGCTTTTTCACTACACACACAGCACACAAAGAGGGAGAAAGAAGGAACACAAAGATCTGTCTGGATTCACACTTTGCAAAGACTCTTTTTTTTCCTTCATAGGTAGGGCCTGCCAGAATACATCCTGACCAGTATGCAGTCCACAAGTTTTTCATGGCTTAGATCAGGAGACATGTTTTGTGGTGCTTTGAAAATAATAATAATAACAACAACAACAACAACAACAACAACAACACTTTATTTATATTCCACCCTTCTCACCCCGAAGGGGACTCAGGGCGGATCACAGTACATGTACTTGGCAAACATTCAATGCCGCTTTTGTATAGACAATACACATACAGACAAACAACAGAAGGAGGTGGTTTGTTTCAATTCAGTGTCCAGCTATTTTTGATGCCATGGAAGATTGGGCTTGAGTCCAGGAGGTGCTGTTGCTCTATCCTCTATGACGAAGAGCCATCAGGACTTCCTCCTTTTGGTCGTCCAGCCTTTTCTGATCTTCTTTCTTTATGGCGTTGTAAAACACCTCCCCCACTTTTTAGTGGTACCTAATTTCTCTAATTACAGCTAAAGCTGTTTTCAAATTGCTTAGGTAAAAAATGAGCTAGGGTGTCATTTGGCAGCTCATGCCAACCCGGGGTTCGAATTTGCAACCTTTTGGTTGATAGATCTTACAATTGCTGACGATTTACCAGCTATACTAAACCTCAATAACCAGCAATCCTATCCAACATAAACAATGATGAGGGGTGTTGGGAACTGTAGTTTTGCAATAGCTGGAGGGTTGTCTGGTTTCCACCCATGTCTGAAATGAACAGTTATACTGCACGTATAAGTCTAGAAATTTAGTTTAAAAAACCAGTTCCCCTAATATGGTAAGTACTTTACCTTAACCCTTGTTTTTTTTTTTAAAGGAACTATTTCTGAATAGAGTGGCAAAATGCAAGAGCTTCGTCTGTTCCAGGAGAATCTAGTTTTTCCTCCAGTGCCTGGGTGGGAAAATAGCATGAGAATAGTGAGGGATGGCTGGCTCCTATGCACTGCTGGTGCTGGCCCAATTTCTAGACTTATATATGAGTATATACGGTATGTCAGTTCATTTTAGACATGGGTGGAAACTGCAGCCCGCAGATATTGCAAAACTACCATTACCAACACCCTTGACTTGATATGATCATATGGTCATATCAACATTCATAATTTTGTCCTTCAAAACTGTTCCCAGGTTATATAGTGTTTGTGTATGTATATATCTATATATATACACACAGTATTGCTATTTCATTTATTGAACTTATTCCTTTTCTGGTTACCGAAGAACAGAACTTTCCAGCTTTTTTTACATTCTTCCCTCGTCAGCTGCTTGTGACTTTTCTCAACTACCTATCAGTCCTTTAAAGACAAACCTGAATAACTTAGAAAATGCATATTTAAAGCCACATAACATTTGTAATGCTGATGTAACTTCTTGGATCCCTAAAAGATAAAGGCATCATAACAGAACCTTATTTTATAGCATAAGTGTATTTAACTGAAGATGATTTTAACCTTTTTCCTTTGTGTGTTTGCATCTGTTTTACACAGAGTCAGTACAAATTTGTCTGTGAAGCTATTCTTCATGTTTATAAAGAAGGAATTGTTCATCCACTGGATTCCAGCTAGCGTAACTGTGAAAAAACTAGTTCATCTATCTGAAAACACATCAATAAAACCCAAGTGGTTTATGGTTATAAATTACACTGGAGCTCACCAAGGCTGTTGGGAACAGAAAGCAAGCTTATACTCGCACTTTAAAATTGTGTAGAAAATGATTGAACTCTGTAGCTTATATAGGCAAGTTTGCAAAGAAATGGGACATGGAATGTACAACCTTGAAAACAAGGAAATCTTAATATACCCACTATATACATCTTTTATTGCCTTAAAACATTTTTTATTAGAAGGATCTGTACATCTGGTGCATACCATTGCAAACAGGAAAAGATCAACAGCAATACCACTGGAAAACAACAGTTGCTGAAAAGCCATGCCTTTATTCTGTGGAGAGCTGAGTATCTCACCATAGCTCACTAAAAACTGGACTGAATCGTCCAATACAAAGTAGTACTGGCAATATTTGCTAGCTTCTCAAACATTTTCAGAGTTGGAAAATGCTTGACATGATTTTTATAAACCTGTTTGCATCACTATTAAATGTTCGTAAATGGAGCACAGATTGCATAACCCACAAAAATGTATGGTTTATATCAGAAATAATGCAGTCTTGTGTCTTTGTATGTGCTCTCTGTTATTCTTTTTCTTCAGGTTTGTTGTTCAAAGTAGGAAATAATGTTATTTTTCAGTTCAGTTTGTGTAATATACTTTTCTAATTGTTTATACTGGAGATGGTACCTGATTTTTGCACCTGGCTGCTGAAGTTTCTTTACTGTGTTTAACCTTATGTTGGAGATCTTTACTGCTGAAATGAATAACCTATTGCTGCTAAATGTAAAAGGGTATAAATGTTCAGTTATTTAAACATTTTTTTTCGATCAAGAGTATCTACCTAACTTTGGTCCAACCTTGCAGCATCATTGCTAATGCAAAGCTTGTGTCATATGTTGGGTGAGATCTCAAAGGTACATCTTATATTGTTATCGCATTCTCACTATCAGCCATAGCTCCTTCCATTTGAAATATCCTTGAGTGTTCGCCTACAGATAGTTATACTAGAAAGAATGGAAAGACCGCTCCCACAACAGCAAGAGTACTGGCCAGTGGGAGTTGCAGGGAATCGTCATTGAGAGATCTGTGGAAAGTGGCTGCTGAGCAAGAAAGGAGCTAAGGGTTGGATCTAAACCTGTGAATGGAAAGTTTAGGGGATCTTTCTGCCTTCCCTACACAGCTTCCCCCATTCTTTTGGATGCTTTTTGCATCTGATTTTGCATGGATTTAGTAAGGCTGCCACGGAAAGGCTAAAGTGGACAATTATGCCTCAGTGGCTCAGTTGTAGTCATGTAAATTTTGATCCAGCCTATTTGATTTTGTTCTTCCAGAAGAATTGTGGTTTGGATTGCGCAAAACATGTTTACTCAGAAGTGCTACCACTATCTTCTTGGGAACGCCTGCCTAGTAAATGCATTAAGCCTTAATTCCTATATAAATCATTATACTTGCAGATTTGGGATATTACCTCTGTGTATGCAAACACTTGTATAGTTGCAACATGAAAGTCAATGGGTGTCGCTGCTGTAGAAGTAGCAAGTATACTAGGAAGGTAAAAACTCAGCTGACCATTTTATTGGTGTGGGTGAGAAGTGGAAAAAATATGAGTCAATGTAATGCAAGAATTAAGTTTATAATTATATTTTGTTTATTTTCTTTAAGGTGTGTTGGTCTCAGTTCCATTTCAAAGGAGAGAATGTAAATACGCAACCACTGTATGATGTTTAAGATTCTTTCCTCGTGAATTATGCTGTATTAAACATAAAGAAAATGTTCCATAGTTATGTTTGTGTTATACAAAAATGTTTTTGAAGAAAACTGCTTAGAAAATTGAGAAATATTTCATTGGATCAGACTTGGTGAGACATGGAGTGGGATCATTAAACTAAGCCATTGATTAATGTTGATTTCAATAGCTATGAATATGGCTAAGTCTGAAAACAGACGATTGTGTCTGAGTGTTAAGCTGTATTTTTAACTTCAAGTGTATTATACTGGGCAGAGGGCAGTAATGTCTTAAGGGGCTCTTTTCTATTTCATTTTCCTATCTGAAATCAACAGTGGCTTGAAAATGAAGAGTATCTACCTAAATTTCATAAATTGTGAAATTTGTTGCTCTGAAACCTCATGATTGCATGTTTGTGTGACTGTTACTTTTGCGTGGTTGATACATTTACAGATTGCCAGGTCTGAGCATGAAATTAAAAGGGTGACCAGTGGCGATTACAATTACAATGTTCTCCTTTATTATAGTGAGGTTTTATTTAGGCATTGATTTACTGAACCACTGTGATCTGGTTAGTAAGGTATGACACACACATTTGAACATTGGGTTCTTCAAATCTATTTTCTGACTGGTCATTTTTGCCTTGTGTATTAGTGTCACAATAGCAAGTTACAATGCCGTATTGTTATAGATATCAGAAGTACTAACGTCTGCCGTATTGAGTGAAAAATACTCCTCTTGCATCCAGTTAGAAACTGCTAGGCAAAGTATTTCATTTACAAGAAGAAGTGAGAAAAATTGTGGGAATACTAGGATTACCCATGGTACAGGCCAACATCTGAATTGGCAATAGGTGTATCTGCTTTATGAGCAGTTAAAATTATATGTAGAAATTGTATCTCAATATTTTATTCAAGACCACGGTGTATTTCAAAACAAGAAACAAATGCAAGAGCATTCCTTATACCTTTTTACATTTTTCGGTTGAACCTAGTTGGGCCTGCTTCATTGTCTTGCCTCACCATCAGGGGCAGCTGAAGCATTAGGCAAATTACGTGTTTGTGTAGAGCGTCAATCCCCTAAGGGTGCTCTTGAGGCGCTCCCACAGGCGCTACTCCACCAGCCGGGCACCGGAGTCGCCATAGGCCCTGAGGAAAAAGGCAGGAGGACAGGCGAGGATCCCTTCTTCCTCTCTCGCGCCTCCCTGGCCTTGCCCACTGGCCCTTTCTCCTCTCTGCCTTCAGGCTGCATCCCCACTGTACACTCAATGCAGTTTGACACCGCTTCGACTGCTAGGGCTGAATGCTGAGGGATTGGGCAGTTTGGCACCAGTTCTCTTGGGCAGAGAAGGGGAAAGATGTTCCACCATTCCATACCACCCAGGGCCCTTCCACACAGCCCTATTTCCCAGAATATCAAGGCAGAAAATCCCACATTAGCTGAGTGTGGACTCAGATAACCCAGTTGAAAGCGGATAATATTGTGGGATTTTCTGCCTTGATATTCAGGGATATAGGGCTGTCTGGAAGGGCCCCCAGCCATGACAGTTCAAGTATCTAAGGCCCCTTCTACACAGCTGAATAAAATCCCACATTTTCTTCTTTGAACTGGATTATATGGCAGTGTGGACTCAGATAACCCAAGGTCCTTTCACACAGCTCTATATCCCAGAATATCAAGGTAGGAAATCCCACATTATCTGAGTATGGACTCAGGGCCCTTCCACACAGCCCTATATCCCTGAATATCAAGGCAGGAAATTCCTCATTATCTGATTTGAACTGGGTTATCTGAGTCAGATAATGTGGGATTTTCTGCCTTGATATTCTGGGATATAGGGCTGTGGAAGAGCCCTCAGATAACCCAGTTCAAATCAGATAATATTTTGGGATTTTCTGCCTTGATATTCTGGGTTACATGGCTGTGTAGAAGGCCCCTTCTATGCTGCCATATAATCCAGGTTTATCAAAGCAGAAAATCCACACTATCTGATTTGAACTGGATTATCTTTGTCCCATTCCCACAGCTGAATAAAATCCCACATTTTCTGCTTTGAACTGAATTATGTGGCAGTGTGGACTCAGATATCCCAGTTCAGAGCAGATATGGGATCAGATTCTGGGATACAAGGCAGTGTAGATCTAGCCAAAGGCAAACTCTCTCTGAACAGATTTTGCCAAGAGAACCCCATGATAGGTTTTCTAATGTGTGGAGCCAGCACAGTGTAGTGGGTTTGATTATGAATCGCTGTTATGCTGTGGAAACCTACTGGGGCCCCTTCCACAGTGCCCTTTATTCCAGGATCTGATCCCAGATTATCTAATCTAAAATGGATTATATGACTCCACACTGCCAGGTGATCTGGGATAAGAATAATTGGGGATCAGATCCTAGGGTATAGGGCAGTGTGGAAGGGGCCTGTGTGACCTTGGGCAAGTCACACTCTCTCAGCCTCAGAGGACGGACATGGCAAACTCCCTCTGAACAAATCTTGCCAAGAAATCCCAGTCATAGATTAGCAACAGGATTGTCAAATGTAGGAACAGACTCAAAGGTGCACAACATTTTAAAACTCTTTTAATGTGAGGTGCACATATAACAGATTGGACCAAATGGGCTAAAACATGAACCTCCTATACACATCGGGGTCAATCTTGAGGTGAGATAGGGGGGTTGGAGAAGGAGGCTATAAATAAAGATAATGGTGGCAAATGACCACTAGAAACCCCAGGTAAGGATGCTTGTGCTCATTTTGCAGTGAATCTGGCCAATTGAACAGGATTCGCTGTTGCACAAAAATGTTCTTGAATGCAAAAATGCACTTGGAATCAGTGTTTCAACATGCAAATCCACCTTCCTGACTGTTGCAGTGGTTTTGTAATCAATGTGATCAGGTCATACAGAGTCCAGACAACACACATCTTGGGGGAAATACATTTGGAGTTGTTATTATGTGCTGTCAAGTCAGCTTTGCTTCATAGCAGCCCTGTTAATTAGATGCCCTTTTAATAGCAGCCCTGCTCAGGTATTGCAAACTCAGGGGCATGGATGGCTTCCTTGACTGTGCCAATCTTCCTGTGATGAGCTCTTTCTCTTTTCTATTGCCTTTACTGTATACTACTATAGGTACTTAAAGTTGGCGATGTTGGGTAAGTTTGCTGTAGATGCCGCATCGGTGGGTTTCAGTATGCTCTCTAACTGTAGGGTAAACTACAATTCCCACTATAGTGAGTCGGTCCCCTCAAACCCCTCCAGTAGGTTGAGTTAGTCATGGGGATTCTGTGTGCCAAGTTCAGACCACGTCCATCATTGGTGGAGGTCACAGTTTCTCTGGTTGTGGGTGAACTACAACTCCCAGAAAGGTCAGTCCCCCGCCCCCAAACTCCTCAAGTAATCAAATTTCAACATATCAGGTATGTGTGCCTAGTATGGTCCTGATCCATTAGGGTTAGGGTTCACAGAGCTACAACTCCCCCAAATCAAGGTGCATTTTCCCTAAAGACCTCCAGTATTTTTTGCTGGTCATGGGGGCTCTGTGTGCCATGTTTGGTCCAATTCTATCTTTGGTGGAGTTCAGAGTGCTATTATTAACAAGCCGAAGTCAGAAAAATCTTTTGAAGAGACAGCATGACCAGGAAACCTTTGTGTAGTACTTATAGACCAAAAGTAACAACAAAAACTTAAAATGGTTGCTAAGTTTAATAATAATCATCATCATCATCATCATCATCATCTTTATTTATACCCCGCCACCATCTCCCCAAGGGGACTAGGGGAGACTTACATGAGGCCAAGCCCAACAATACAGCAATGCAAATAAACAACATACAAATCTCCCCTATTTGGGCAAAGTCATGGAACGTGTGGTGGCAACACAACTCCAGGAATTTCTGGTAGACACTGATTATCTAGATCCGGCACAGTCTGGCTTCAGACCGGGACATGGAACGGAAACAGCCTTGGTCGCCTTGGTAGATGATCTTCGCTGGGAGCTGGACAGGGGGAGTGTGTCCCTGTTAGTTCTGCTGGACCTCTCAGCAGCCTTCGATACCGTCGATCACGGTATCTTTCTGGGACGCCTCAGAGATATGGGACTTGGGGGTTCTGCCTTGCAGTGGCTCCAGTCCTTTCTTGAGGGACGGTCCCAGAAGGTGTTACTGGGTGACACCTGTTCGGCCCCACAGCCGTTGTCATGTGGAGTCCCACAGGGTTCAATTCTGTCCCCAATGTTGTTTAACATCTACATGAAGCCGCTGGGGGAGATCATTCGGAGTTTCGGACTGAGGTGTTATCTCTACGCAGATGATGTCCAGATCTGTCACTCCTTCTCACCTGTCACCAAGGAGGCTGTCCAGACCTTGAATCGATGTTTAGCTGCTGTGTCGGACTGGATGAGGGCTAGCAAATTGAAATTGAATCCACAAGACAGAGGTCCTACTGGTCAGTCGTAAGGCCGAACAGGGAATAGGGTTACAGCCTGTGTTAGACGGGGTTGCACTCCCCCTGAAGACTCAGGTTCGCAGCTTGGGAGTGATCCTGGACTCATCGCTGAGCCTGGAACCCCAGGTCTCAGCGGTGGCCGGGAGAGCTTTTGCACAATTAAAACTTGTGCACCAGTTGCGCCCGTTCCTTGGGAAGTCTGATCTGGCCACAGTGGTCCACGCTCTTGTTACATCCCGAATAGACTACTGCAACACACTCTACGTGGGGTTGCCCTTGAAGACGGTTCGGAAACTTCAACTGGTCCAGCGAGCGGCAGCCAGACTGCTCACCGGGGTGACATACAGAGAGCACACCACCCCTCTGCTGTGTCAGCTCCACTGGCTGCCGGTTCAGTTCCGAGCCCAATTCAAGGTGCTGGTTTTGACCTACAAAACCCTGTACAGTTCCGGTCCAGCGTATCTGTCCGAACGTATCTCCCTCTACGTCCCACCACGGAATTTAAGATCATCTGAGGGGGCCCTGCTCTCGACTCCACCGCTTTCCCAAGCGAGGCTGGTGGGGACGAGGAGCAGGGCCTTCTCAGTGGTGGCCCCTCACCTGTGGAACC